ACACACACACACACACACACACACACACACACACACACACACACACACGTATGATAGTGGATTAAACAAAATCTACATATTTTGTTTTTCATATTGATGGTAAATGTTACCATGAATTCAAATCTGTAAGAGAAATTTGTCAATTGTTTGTTTATGGAAACAACTGAAGTGACTAAAGGATGGGGACATCYATGGAAGAGCGGTTTAAGATAAATAAGACAGGCAGTTTTGATGTGTTGAMACAAATTTACATAATTTTGCAATAAAATATGCAGGAAAAAGTGCTTTGTTGACATTGAGCGTGGACCCGCATTTTAGAATTGCATGACATCGTGCAAGGAATACTACTCTTTTTTTTAAAAACTGCACCATTTAATTCAGCTCAGGATAACCTTTTATAAGTTTGACTTCAAAGTTTGCAATGAGTACCTTTAATACTTTTAAATATTTTTTTAATTCTAAATATTTAGTAGTAATTTGTTCATGTTACATTGTTTATGTTTGCATAAGGATTAACTGCAGTTACGGACGGTGCATAAAACAGCCTGGTTCTATTACTGAACACACAGGCGACACTGGCCTTAACTTGTCTCCAAAGTTCAAAATCCACCCAAGAGTAAATTTAGTTACATAAACAGGTTTATGTCCTCAGTGTTTAGAGATGCTTTCTTAACTAAAGTAGTGCGACTAATATACACTCAACGTGTTTGTTCTTTTGTTTCCTCTTTGCTTTTTTTGTTGCAGTTGTATATAAAAGTGTTTTTGACCCAAAAACTGTGCAAAAACTCAATCTGAAACAGTTTAAAACTTATAAAGAAAGACATTAGGTGTTCAAGAACTGATTCAGCACATTATAAAATGAAGAAATATTCCTTCTTCCACACACAAATCATCTCTTTTTTCTCATATCCTCCAGTGAGACTGTAAAGAAAAGCGGATCCTTTTTTTTCCCAAGCACTGTGAGAGCCCCTTGTGGACCAAACCTTCATCGAATACTGGTGCATTTTGTGGGGGGCAGTATTTATCAACTTTATGCACATTTTCTACTGTATATACCCGCTGTGTCACTTATTAATTAACCTTCTACACCAGAAAAATCGAAGGAGCAAGGATTTAAGCAACCTGTGATTAAGGCAGTCTAGTAAAATATTGCAGAGAGGTTTTTTTATTTGTTTGGCCCCGTTTTTTTGGAGACAGACTGCCGCAACAGTCTTCAGAGTTTCTATAGCTCCTGCCAGCTGCTGTGTCCAAACAGAGCAGACCAGTGGATATGATTGATATGTTAAAAAAAAAGTGTGACTCACAATTTTACATCCATGGAGGAAAACGATCAATAAAAAAAAGGAAAAAAAAGAATGAGCTGTAATCCTCTTTGGAAGAAAAACATCATATTTGGTTTGTGTTTCACTCCTCTTGACATTGAATAATCTTTACAAGGAGCCTAAATTGGAAAAAAAAATGCTCAGGGCAATTGAGTTAAGTAAAGTCGAAGCCTAGATCTAATTTGTCAACTGAAATTAGAGCTAGGGGCTTTTTAAGCGGCGTGCAGAAGATGGAGATAGACAAAGGTCCCACTTACAGTGGCTTAATTCTGTCTCATTTAATTGAGTTCATTCCAAGATACAGAAAAAAAAAAACTCAAAGCAGATACATACATATACGTTGGACAAAGGAGATGCAGCTCTGCCACTGTCTTTGTTGAGTTCTGCTGTTAGGACTCCTTCCTTGCAGTTTGCATGTTAACATATTCCAGCAGTTCAGAAATCTGCCCGAAAAAAGGGGCAGATTTCATGTTCTCTATAGTGCTTTAAATTATAGGGCTTCAAGCAACAACTAGATCTTTATCAGAGTTCCACCACTCCCCCGAACCCCCGGTCCCTGCTGTACAGTGCAATAACAGTCCCTCAGACCCACTCCTGCATGGAGCGCTTGCAGTACAGTATGTGCCGTTGCGTGCTCTTCCTCCTGAACTGGAAAACGGTGTAGAGGAGGACCATCATGCACAGCGCCAGAACGCAGGGGATGGCGATGGCCACGGCTTTCTCCGTGCCCCCCGCGCTGTCCGGTTTCATGACGACGTCCACGTCGCCGGTGTCGTAGTGGCGCTCCTCTGCCACCGGGAGACTCCAGTCCCAGTCGGGGTCGGCCGGCAGGCCGTCACAGCCCATGAAGTCCCTCAGAATGGACCTGGGGTAGCCAGGCTCCACACGAAGCAGCTGGTTGTTGAACTTCCAGTACTCTTTCCCCTTGTAGAAGTAGGTAAAGCCTGTATGAGGGGCAGCAGATTAAGAGATACGGACATTAATAATAGAAGTATTATTAGATGTTATGGATTAATTATGTATATCTGTTCTACCCCGACACTGTCCAGTAATCATATCTCATGATAACTAGTTTCGGCTGTTTTACTCTATCGGCCCAGACTTCCAGACTCCAGCAATGCWTGACCTCTTTTATTTTGATAAGGTGTTTCCGGGCTGACAGCCCTGTGATTGGTTAGATGGTTCACAGTTGGCGAACTGTGATTGGTTGTAAGCATGTCACAGGATGTTATATTATCGGCTGCTCTGCGCTGACAAACCAGCCACAACTGGACAGACTTCTCTGATTGACTTCTGCTCTGTTGTTGCTCAAATTWAATCATTTGACGACCATACACGCAGACTTTCTGTGCATTTATTCCAACGTGTTTCTGCATTCTTGGTAAATCGTGCCACCACATTGGATTTTATATTTTTATTTACTCGTGTAATGTGCTTAGAGGGGGAAAAGGAAGCAACGATCTCCAGATGTATTCAAACCGAGCATTTAATATTACTTTGTGACCAAACATGACAAGTGAAACACTGTATTCTGCTGACAGCACAGAACAGTCAAATATACTGAACCTTCCTACAATGATTTAAAACAGGGGTCTTCAACATTTTTAGTCTGGCACCATTATTTATATATATATATATATATATATATATATATATATATATATATATAGTGTTGTGGATATATTGCAAAAATTGCAGCCCTAACAGTCTCTCAGCCAGTTCAGTGTGACCTGACAGAGCAAACGCACCGGGACCACATGACCTGTCTAGTATCCTTAGTGACATAATACTAGTTAAAGTCATGAAACAACACCATGAGGTAATTGGTAAAAGTCAGAGGTCTTTAACGGTGGGGTCACAGAGATGCTGYAGAAAACTGGTGAAAGGGGGCATAAAAATGTATTCAAGTCAGAAGTGCACACGCTCAGTTATCAAACCAGCTGGATTCTGCTTCAGTCACAGCCTGACCCTGCATGCATTCTGCACAAACAGAAGGACCCACCCCTATCCTATAAGGTGATTATGTGAAACTAGACTTTTACTTTAGTAAATCTACTTATACAACATGGGAAAAGTGTTCTAATACAAGTATAATAACCCCTATTAAAACTTTTAATAGAGGTTATTATACTTGTATTACAAAATCTTGGTTATAACACTTTTAATTTAAAAGTGTACATGGTAGGTAAAATTTTGTCCTTTTATTGTTACCAAATACAAAAATAAAAACATTTAAAGCTGAACAACTTGAAAGACGTGCGGATCGAAAATTTTGAACCCACCGATACCAAATCTTTATCTTTCAAAATAAATTCTAAAATACAAATATCAATATTTTGATACTTCTGTCATATCAGGTTACATGTCATTAACAGCAACACAGTGGAAAGTAACTAAACTATTGAAATTTTGTCTAAATCAGAAATGATCAGTGGGAACTACTTTTTCTTCCGCCTGGGCAATGAGTGCAGCAGCACATTGCTCAGTCAGATGTTACATGTTCAGTATTTCCATGTTAATATGTTTGTTTAATATAAATTAAGAGGCATGTTTTTATTTTTATAGTAGTTATTGATACACAACAATTTATTAAATGGTTTTTACTTCATTTTTTAACACCATTTTCACATACTTCACGTGATTGTGTCGTCTGTCTGGGTTTTCTGTTGTATCCACTGGGCTATAATTGTAAATGAGGACACTACTGTGTTTCCTGTACTCAAGTAAATTTATTATTGCATATCTGAATGTTACCATCAAGTCCTTTGGCATTCGTCATACCATTGGTCTTGTCCACGAACGCCCCCTGTGGTGAGTCAGGGATGCCCTTCCAGACAGTGATGGACTTGGGGTAACCTGGGTCCATCGTCCTCATGTCCTCGTTATACCGCCAGTATCTACAAAAACAAAAAGAGTTGATGATTATGTAATTTGTTTTGACACATTAAGAAGCCATTTTTTGATGACTTGTTCCTATTAAATTCAACAAACAACAGATTTCCTTCATAGAGCTGGAGGCTGTGATTGATCAGTCGTCATCCTTGTTTGCCTTTTATGCAGATTAGCTTCGGAACAAGCAGCGGCTGAAGCGTGTTTTGACAAACAGGACGTTCTGTGGGTAAAGATGACAAAGCATTTCATCATCTTTCACCGCAGGGTCCTACATAACCTCTCAGGATGTGATTTATCACAACAGCTGAACATGTGAGTCAGATTGTCATATTCCCGTACTGTACGGTCGCTGTGACGCACAGAAATAAACAACAGATCCTCTGATTGACTTGTTTTGAACAGACGCTATAATTAATTTGCACTTTAAACCAACTAAACACAACCTGGTCCCRTTATTAAAACAAAAGGCGATGGTCTAAGAATCACCAAAACATTGCCAGTTACCATGTGCAACATGTACAATAGATTTATCCACTGAAAACAATTTAATAAAAAAATAAAACCAGGGCCAGCCCTAGCCAATTTGGTACCAACCTCACTGCCACTTTACATACATTTACATAACAAATGAAATAGTTTTGCCTTTGATATTTTTTTAATTTTAGAATTCAGGTTGTCCAATTAAAATAATTAACAATATAATTTTTTGGAACAGAATACAAAACGTCTACCTCATACTAGCCAGCATTTGTTGACAGCAATGAGGAAGACCTGTTCATGGTTAATGAGCAGCTGTGAAGTGAAGCAGTTCTAGGAGGGTCCAGGAGTGCACTCCCTTGGAAAATTTTATAAAACATCTATAAAACTATGCATTTTCCAGCCCTTTGAAGAGCACTTTACTAAATAAAACAACATAAAATCTGTATTTTATTAATGTAGAATGGTGAGATCAAAATAGAAATTTCCATTATCCTTACATTTTTTTACACACCGAGCACCAGTAGTTTTTCTTGACTGCATCATGTGATGCTTTTATCACAAAATATCCTCTGCCCCACATTAGAGATGTGACGTTCACAAACGATCCAAATCTTTTGAATGGTTCTTTACGAATGATAGGAACCAAGTCGTGGGCAGTGGCGAGCCTTTAGATGTATTTTTTTAGTCCTCATATAATCTTCATTTTTTCATCTTTAAATCGCTCCCGCTTTGCTTTTTCACAGAAAACAGGCAGAGCAGTGGAGTACAGAAGCTCACGGGGAAAGGGAGAGGGGGGTTTCCGCTTGACAAAACTCATGGTTCCATCTATGTAACATGATGACATCATCATGTACGGCGACGTGATGGCGTATGTCCCTTGTTCAAAATCGAACAGCTGTTTGGAACGGCTTCATAAACTTGAGTAACCAGTGATTATTCTACAGACTAATAAAAAGCAATCATTTTTTCTCATCCCACCATTTGCAACGCCCCCTAGATGGACACGCCCTCAGCACTTGCCTACACTGCCTATGCCACAGACCAACACTGCAAAAAAGGCTCTGAGCAACAAGAAGCTCAACTCTTGCATCAAAGTGGTATTTTATCTTCAAACTTCCTGCAGACAAAGTTCTCAGTTATTTCTCTGCAGATGTTTTTCTCCCTGAGTTTTAGTTCTGCCCAAATGCTTCATCGCAATTAATCCACACAAACCTGTCTCCTTTGAAGAAGTAGGTCTTGGCGACATCTTCCCACCAGACAGCTGTCTCGATACTCTCTGTTTGCATGCCGCTCCCGAACAGAGAGATGTCCTGAGGGTACGAAGGCTGCAGAGTGGTATCTTTGAACACCCAGAAACGGTTTCCTAAAACAGGAAGAAGTCAGAAATTTAGAGCACACTTGAGACAATAATTCTATCATGCACAGCATTTGACCTGAAAGATCACTATTTATAAAAAAACACACTTATACATGCCCCCCGTCTGAGTTTTTGCCAGTCAGTCTGGATTTTGTTTTTCTCTCCATGTGATTTCAAAGACCAGATGTTTCATAATCTTGTTTGAAGATTATCTGCATGGCACAAAATCTTTGACCGATGATGCTCAGAGGGCAACCCTGCTGCATCTTCCTGTTTTGAAATTTCGCTGAAGCCGCGGCTGCATTTGATTAATTTTGATCAGAAGTGCCTCAGACGGAGCGCAGAAAAGCTGCTGTGATTGGTGGCTAGGCGCTCCTATGCACACACGCCCATATACACACACATGCTTTAGTCCCTCTGAGTGAATGAATAAATCAAGAGGCTCTCTGATTCCACCRGGTGACAGATGTCATTTTAATCTGTCTGATGAACGAACGGATGTCTCTCTGGGACCCACACCCRTTCTCCCACCATACAGAATTCAGTGCAACCTCACTCAGGCTGTTATTATCTCATCAAATACTGTTGACTATTTTAAATATTGTGCTTTTTTTTAACTCAGTGGTTACAATAATTTAAGAACAAACGGTGAAACGAGGATACCATATCAACTTCTTTTGGTCTTTGAATAAAAACAAACCAAAGAATTCATGTGTAAAAGCATTGCTCCACTGTTAGTCATTCATTAATTAAACACAAATGACTTCACAAAACTACAGCCTTCAAACTTGCACGCCCAAGTTTTAAATAAATCAAGTGTTCTGTCAGTGGATTATATGAAAAGGATGTTTTTCTGCAACTACCATAACAAACCTTAGCTCAGTGTTTGGAAAATTGACAGAATTATAGCAAATTTTACGTTGGATAAAATTTGCTGTGATGGCCATCTTACATTGTGTCAACCTTAAATAAGTGGATCCAATGATTACTCTTAGAGTTTCGTGCAAATCTTTCCAGCCATTCACAAAATATACTGTTAACAGACAGACAGGGTCAGCTCAAACAGTTAATGCAAAGTTAGCGCTTGATGTAACAGTTGGGTATGATTCTCAGCTGCTGGTATGTCAAACTTTACCTCAGAATTTGGAAAAATAAAGAAGACATATTCTTTAAAACCCTTCTTTTTCACCTTTTTATCTATATAAGGTAGAACTGCAATGCTGTCTGAATTCCTCCTTATTGTAACTCCACAAGCCCCTCTTTCACATCTTTCCGAGGTGTGTTTCAGATCAACTCATTTTGAGGCTGTCTCTTTAAATGCTTCACATCCCGCCTCCCTCCATCTTCCAGAGTGGTCCACTGTAGCTTGATAGAGTGGGATTAGGATTATATAGCGTCACAGAATATTTTTATTTACAAATGAATGAAAAGACGTCAACAAGGGAAGACTTGTCCATCCAGCCTTACATGTAGGAGCCAGAGTCTGACCCGGGGCCAGAGGAGAATGAAGACGAGGAGTTGAAAAATTTGACCCAGATAGAATATAAAGATATCTATGCAGCACCAAGAGAGAAAATGTCAAATTTCTGCATTCCTAGAAGTACACAACAAGATGCCTTTAACAGCTAAAAAAGTGCATTTTTCACGACATGTCCCCTTTTATAAAGTTATTATCATTTTTGTTGTGAGATCCAAGTTATATCAAGAGGATTTAAAGATAATTGATAATTTAGGTGTGTTCGTTTACCTTAATACGTGTCCGTAACCAGATAGGCAATGCACCAATAGTTGAATGTTTGAATGTGAAGGAGTCATACAACACCAGCATTGGACCGAGGAGCAGGCCTGTCTCTGCCTTCAGCTAATCAGTGCTCACATCAGGAAATACGCTTTGATTTACCACCGTCCTCATGTCCTGACCCCGCCTCATTCCAGTGAAAGGGGCTTTTTCTACACAGAGTCAAGACATCCTACATTTATGGCTCTTCACTAACGTTCCATCACGGTTCGTTTTATGTGTTGTAAGTGTTAAACCAGGCATGTATCTAGCATGTACCTTCCACTCTGAGWAGCCGTCTGTGACAGTCTGTAMATAAAATCACCAGTTTAACCACAAACATACAGTATTCACACAGTGGTTTATAAAACTGTATCATGTTTCACCTGAGAAAAGACTATAAAATGTGTGGTGCTTTCAAAAGTCAGTAGTAAACAACCCCAATAAATTTCTTCAGGACTTCAAACGCTAATCAGTTGCAGTGTTGTATAAAGTACCACAAAGAGATACTTGAGTAAAAGTACAAGTATCCTACCAAAAAATCACTTTGGTAAAAGTTAAAGTCTCCTTTAGGAATATTACTAGAGTAAAAGTACAAGTATTTTACCAAAAATACTTTGGTAAAAGTTAAAGTCTCCTTTAGGAATATTACTTGAGTAAAAGTCTTAAAGTATCTGATATTTTTTGTACTCAAATATTAAAAGTAAAAGTATTGATTTAAAATGAGCAGTTAGATTTTCTGTAATGACATTAATTAGGAGGTGACCTCCCCAAAAAATGCAGAAATGACTATAGCATATTAAAAATAATTAATTTATGTTAAATTTAGGATGCACTAGTCTAGCTGTTTCAGTTTATATACATTTTTCAAGGCTGCCCAAACATGTTCCCCGAAATGGAAATCTATCTGAGGGCTGCGGCCAAATGCAATAATATAATTCATGAAATACAAATACTTTGTAAGTACAGTCTTTGTTTTGATTTGTTTGTGTACAAACTAATATGGTATCAGAATCTTATATATTTATACTTCTCAATCAACCACAATTAAATTCACTCTATCTAAGGTGGCACAGTTTATACGAATAGTATATATATTTTTTTACAATAACAAGCTGGAATGAAAACAAGCAAAAATGAAATAAAAGTAACGACTATCTAAGGTGGCACAGTTTATATGAATAGTATATATATTTTTTTACAATAACAAGCTGGAATGAAAACAAGCAAAAATGAAATAAAAGTAACGACTTTCTACTTCTTGTCTTTTAAAAAAATGTAAGGAGTAGAAAGTTCAGATAATTGTGTGAAAATGTAAGAAGTAGAAGTAAAAAGTAGGCTAAAAATTGTTACTCAAGTAAAGTACAAATACCCAAAAATTCTACTTAAGTACACTAACAAAGTATTTGTACTTAGTCACTTTACAACTCTGATCAGTTGTAACTAAGAAACACCCAGTTATCCAGGCAGTTACATAAGTTTCATGTTGACAGGCGATAATGATTATAAGATAATCCAACCACAAACTGAAGTGGTTGAACTGGCTTTTATTACCTTTAAAAAAAACAAACTTTCCTTCGCTGTTTTCGTACACGGCGTCGATTTTAGCAGGCAGGCCTTTCCAGAAGAAGTTGATCTGCATGGGATACCCTGGAACCACCGAGTTGTCCCGGACCCTCCAGAACCACTGGTCCTACGAATAAACAAAATGAGTAGAATCATTGTTTGTCCCTTCCTGAACTGCTCTGAGAGCAGAGGGCTGGTTATTTAACTTTACCTTGAAGACAAACAGCTCCTGTCGGAGGATGGCCAGAGTGTTGAAGCCTCCATCACAGATGTTAGGTTTAGCGTTGGGGTTGGACGGTTTGGCCCCCTGTGGAGGGCGGTGGGGTCTGGCGTGGCGATCCTGTTTTCGGGGATCTGAGGGAGGGTGAAAGCGAGGAGGAGGAGCCGTGGGAGGCGGTCTCGTGGGCTGTGGAGCTTTATCTGGTGGTCCTGAAAATAGAAAAGCACCGCGTTTCATCCTGTGTTTCTCCACGTCTTTGCTTTACTGCTGTGCTTCTGAAAGATTCAGCTATTTCTGAAACTGTCCCCACTGAGATCGTTTTTTTTTTCCGTTTTTTTTACCAAAGTGCCCTTTAAATTGGCACCGATTATTTTACCTCTTTGGCGTCTGTTGGTTGACTCATGTTGTTTTGAAAAACACAGATTGGCTGACCTCTTTAACAGCTGACAAATGCTGCTTACTGGCACTCCACCCAGTATGACTGACAGAGTGGTGACTAACTTTCTAATCTATGCTGTTCAGTGTGTTTCGTGACGTTGAGTATCTTTGATAAACAATGTAAAGTGCTCTTTCTTATGATGTTTCATCCATAAAAAAAAGGTCACCATAGATTTTCTGGATGCCCTGCAGATCATCGTGAGGTAGTTTGAAGTTCTCCGTGTCCATGTACTGATAGAAAGGAGCCATGATGGCTGTCGGGTCGCTGGAGTGCTCCAGCCCGAGGGCGTGGCCCAGCTCATGGACTGCAACCAGGAACAGGTCGTTGCCTGGAGGGGAAAACAGAAAATGCAAATATTTTTATTTGATGTGCAGAATTTGTTCTTAAGTTAAGGTGGTTAGATAAAACTGTGTGTAGTTAAAACAAAAAACGACCAATTTTAACATCCTTGAAGCAGGTGTGTCAAACTCAGTTAAACAAGGAGGCAACAATTCAAAACTTGGTCCAAGCCAAGAGCCAATCTCTGTTAATGTTTATTGAAAAAAATGTTATATAACAAACTATCTTTGTAGAAATACAAATTTAATAAATTATATTTTAAAGAAAAAGGATTACATTTAGAAAGACTCATCATTAGAATATTTTTGTGCCTTACTCTGTACTAACAAGTTTTTCATTTACTATTTTTTGGAGATATGTTTTATGACAATCCAGCAAATCAGTTATAAAAAATAAACTCTCGCAAAAAAAATCACATTATTTGAATTTAAAATAAGAAGAGAATATGCAAAGAGATAATTAAAGTCAATTCTCTGTTGCTTTTTGAAATAATCAAAGATTACTGAAAAATTCTAACAATTTTCTTGGTTTGAAAATTGACCAACTGTAATGAGACGGATACACTAAATATAGTGACAAAAAAGAAACTATAAACCTGTCATTACATTATATTATTATTATTATTACTATTACTATTACTATTATTATTATTATTATTATTATTATTGTTGTTGTTGTTGTTGTTGTTG